TGAGGTTGCTATTAATGAAGCAACGGATGATCATGACAATTACAAAGATGGTCTGGAACAAGTTTCTGGAAAATATGGCACTTAGGAAGATATTAATGTTGCACTACGAGATGACTGTGATGTAAGAAAAGAAGAAGACACAAACAGATAAACGGTTCAGAAACTTATGAAAGAGAATGATGTACTGAAAATTGTTATACGTAACATAGCATTAGATAAATATTCTTTGGAGCATGCATAGTTAGAAGCTAGGGATGATTCGCTAGACAAACAAAACACTATCTTCTCATTGAAAATTAAAGAAAAGGACACAGTGATAAAGGAGTTGAATGAATTGGTTGAAAATATGAAAAAACAGAAATTCAAGCATGCAAGGAAACAATACAAAATCAAGAAAATGAGAATGTTGAATTGATTGATCAAATTAACGAGTTATTTGTGCATGTCATAACTTAGAAATATCAACAAAAACTCATTGCAGTTCAAGATCCGAGGGTAATGCCAGAAAAAGGGCAACCATCAATGGTTCAAAACATCAAGATAAGGGATAGGAAAAGGAAGAGGGATGAAGAATTTGAATACAATGGGAAGAAAAGAGAAAAAAATCAAAGTGTGACATCAGATGAGATGATCACTGTGAGGGAGGTCAGATCTAGAAAAACAGTTGAGATTGTTGAAGATGATGACAGCGTGGACATGATCACTACAATTAAAGGGAAAACAAGGAAAGAGAATAAAAAAATGTGGCGTGATTGTGAAGCATTGGATGCGATTGATTTCAACAAATTAAAGACCATGTATGATGCAGAAGGTTACGGGTAAGTGTCACTATCCCATTAAAAATATGCTTTTAAAAAATTATGGTTTGCACATACTTCATTATTTTTAAATATATGACAAGTTTGCTTCCCATTTTTATGGTATTGTAGTGGAAAAAATATGGTCTAGGGTTGGAATTAGAAGTGTAATAGATGTCGAGGATGCGTTAAAAATAATGGGAACTTGCAAACTATACAACTGCGTACAAATTGAAATTTTTTTATTGTTTTCTGTAATTATTTAACAGCATGTTATAATGACCCAAAAAGGGTTGTAGAATATAAATAAGTTAAGTAATAGCGTTCTAATTTATTGATATAATAATAAGTTAAGTAAAAAAGGGTTGTAGAATATAAAAAGGGTTCTAATTTATTGATATAATAATAAGTTAAGTAATAGCGTTCCAATAAATAAATTCAAGACTTACCGTTAAAAAATTATGAGCAGAGCTATACAGACTTAAAAAACTTGACGTAATGATATGACTATTATATTTGTTATTGATTTAATTGTGGGTCATAATATTTATTAGAATTTACTACCTATTCAATGGTTGTGATTCATCAAGTCAAGTGTTTTAAGTCTATTTAGTATTTTTGGTCCAAGTCTATACAAAAAATCATTTTGAATTGCAATGCGGGTGAACTCGAATTTGATCCAAGTCATAAATTTCTCAATCCAACTTCAACCTTACTCTTTCTATCAAAGAATTGGTTGGTTAACATTTTGAAGGCAGGTAACATAACTCAAAAAATATATTTAATTTAGGCTGAAATTCGATTTTTTATTTTTTAACATCAATTTTCAAATTGAAATTTGAGGTCAATGCAAATTGAAAACATGTTAAACTTGTGTTTAATTATCGAGTTATATAACTTGGTTCAAATTGCATTCGGATTGACAAGCTTAAATTACACCCAACTTATTTGTTTGAAGATGGACAAAATGACTGCATAGCTGACATCTCTTACTTCTCTTCTTCTATCTCTTGCAGGTCACCGACGAGCCATCTCCTACTCAAAATTTTCTGTTGACTAACTTCCAGCATCCATAGTAATGAACCATATCATCTTTGAAGTTGGCTCATGCTAAGGTGGAGGGAATCATTACTCATTCTACATGGAATTGGCCACTTAATCAGTCTACTGAGCTCTTGAAAATTCAAAATTCAATGCCTTCTTATTCACCAAACCACCTTGTTGCTGATAAGATAAAGTGGCTTCCTGCAGCAAATGTGGCATATTCTGTTTCTTCAGCTTGGAATTTCATAGTATAAACTCATTTGATATTCTCAATCCAAACCGAGAATGAGCTTTATATTAAGGTTAACTATAAGAGAAAAAGTGACATCCTGTGTCTTCTGCATTTTTGAATGTCCATTCACAAGTGATATCTATTTGAAGATTATGCAAAAGTGTGGTGAAAGTTGCCAAACTATGGCATGGCCCAGTTAATCCAAACTTCAGTAGGGCAGTGGAAGGAAAAGTCTCTTAGAACTATCAGCCTAAAGTTTATGCCATGCAGCCACAATGTATAGCTTATGGAGGGAGAGAAATGGAAAAGTGTTTAAGAATGTGTTTTAGGAAGTACTATCCATTTTCAAGGAAATCATTAATACTGTCCACAGCAAGTGGATTACTGTCAAATACAAGGAAATCCCCTAGACTCTCCAGCTTTTTACATATGTGGCAAATTATTCCACCTGATGCTTAGCATAGTGGATAAACCTTGACATGAGTGGTCTGTTTTTTTTTTTATTATTATTATTATTATTATTATTGTATAATGTAGAGCCTAATCTGAGAGAAGTCTTGTGCAACCAACAAAACTATTTAAATATTAAACTCTTTTTGGTCTTTTTTGGCTCCAGTAATGCTTTATGCAGAGTTGGACTGTCTATAGCTCACACATGTATATTTTGGCCACTTGGTTACTAGGATCGTATTCACAATTTATTTACATACTCAAACAAATAAAAATTTGCAGGATACAAATTCCACAATTGTGGTGTCTATAGGCTTTCTTATAATTTGGATATGCTATTTTGAGGTCAACCTATTAGGAATGTCTACATAGTTATGACTCATTTATGTTAACGTCTAATTGAATTCAAGAAAGACCCTTACCAATACAAACAGATTCCAGCATATATAAAAAACTTTGTATGAACCAGTGAGAATCATGTGAATCAAATAGTGTACTGATTCAGATAGGTTTCACAAAGACCAAACATATTAGCGGGTTAAAATTCATTTTTTTTCTTTTACTTAAGAGAAGAAAAAAACCCACCTTTTTTTTTCCGTTGTAAAACAAACGATTTTAAACATCAAAGGATTGATTTAGAATTTTTTATTCATGAAAACTATCTATAATTTTTGGAATTGGTCATAGTCTGCCAAGAGGGCTTAAAAGGGCCTAAGGATTTTCATCTATGGTCCTTCATTAAGTTACATAGTTGCTTTAATACCAAGAGTCTCTTTAGGCAGTCCCATGAAACAAGTTCGCCCTCAAGGAGTTCTTTTCTTTCATAAGAAAAACTCATTTATTAGTAAAGCAGTCCAATAAAATGGAGTACCTTCATTGAGAAGGATAGAAGGCGGTGCCAGAGTGACCTAACCATAAGAATCCTTGAATATTAGCGTACTGCCATTACACTCAGCGAAATGCACATGACACAGGCCTTGTTTTTTTACCCATAATAGACAGCAACTGAGTAAATCATCAAGATTGGCCTTTTCTTCCCCAAAGATGAGAAACCATGGTCATATAAAAACAAAACAAGTGACTTACCTTTTTAGTAAGTTTATACACATCTCAACATGAAGTCCTTCACCTCTGAAACGACCAATGTCCCTGTAACATGTGAGGAAGAAGAAGAAGAAGAGTCTCAAAAAACCAGTATGACATACACAGATTTAATATCAACACTTCCGAAAGTACCCAGATGGATATCGAGACACTTCAAGACTCAGCCCAGAGATATTATTATATGCAGCGCTCCAAAAACTGGCACCACATGGCTCATGGCCTTAACTTTTGCCGTGATAACAACAAACAAGAAACCGTTTCAGTGAATTTTCAACCCCTTTGCTCACCAGCGTAACCCATGAATGTGTACCCTTTTTGGAGGTTGATCTTGCTGAGAAAAGTGTGAGTCGGGACCCCGAACTTCCACTTTTGTCCACTCACCACCCCTATATTTTCTTACGAGAATCTATACTAGCATCAGGGTGTAAAGTTATTTATATATGTAGAGAACCAAAAGATACATTTGTTTCTCTGTTGCACTTTACATGCAATGCGCTATCCCAACATGTGGAATTAGCAGAAACTGTTTCTTTGGAGAAAGAGTTTCACCTGTTTTGTGAGGGTAAATCTCCTTATGGACCTTACTGGGATCATGTGTTAGGGGTATTGGAAAGCAAGACTGGAATTGCCTGAGAGGGTATTGCTCTTGAAATACGAAGATACGCAGAGAGATCCAGAGTTCTACATGAAGAAATTGGCTGAGTTCATGGGGCAATCATTTAATATAGAAGAGACCTAAGGTGTGCCTCAAAAAATTGGTCATCTGTGTAGTTTTGAGAATTTGAGCGGTTTGGAGGTGAACAAGACGGGCAAAGATCGTTCAGATTCAGGCTTGGGAATTGGTAACAGTACATTTTTCAGAAAAGGGGTGGTGGGGAACTGGAAGAACTGTCTGACAAGATAAATAACAGAAAGGATGGATCAGATTACGTAGCAGAAGTTAGGCGAGTCTGGCGACACATTTGGTGTTTCATCATCGCCATAAACCAACGTATTGTGTTCCAGTTGGATTCTGATGCACCTCCACACCAAGTAAATCATTGAGGATTCATCAGAGAAATAGTAATGAAGGCAACCATATGGCATGACCTTAAATTCTTGTTCTTAATCTTTCTTCCTTTTCAGAGTCTCTTTTTCTGTGATTTGAACTTCCGATGCTGTAGTTTGTAATCTATGAGAAAAAAAAAATTATAGAACAAATTTACTCCATTCGCCTTCCATAATCACACTCCATAAACATTTTTTCTACAATTTCTGGTTTGAATCTCTCATAAGCATTTCTTCTCTCATTCTGCCTAGTTCTGTTCCTTTCATGCAAATATAAATTGCACACTGAAAAACAATCAAGCAGATTGAGCTCCCATTAAACATAGTCACACAGATGGCCAAATGCCAATCTCAGAATACCCATCTTCAGTAGCACAAGCTCTAAACATGCCTGTCGTATTAAACGGCATGGTTACTTCTCCTGTGGCAGACACAGCAATCAAGCCAGCAGTGCCTCTTGGGACACACTCTTCTATAACATAAGTCGCTGCATCCTTTAGAGAAAGCCCTTTGTATTCCATAAGAGAGGCCACATCCCTTGCAACAGTGGAGCGTATTATCGCTTCACCCTTGCCAGTGGCAGAGACAGCGCACAAACTGTTGGCATATGTCCCCGCACCAATGATAGGGGTATCCCCAATCCTTCCTACCATCTTGTTCACAAACCCACCAGTAGAAGTTGCTGCAGCTAAATTTCCATGACCATCTACAGCCACACATCCGACTGTCCCAATTTGGCTATCCCCACCAGGAAATGATGATTCTTTCGGAACATTATTTTGGATGGGTTGTGTATAATCTATCTACAATTTGATACAAAAGACTTGTTAGCCATTTTCATAGAAGTCAGAACACTTCTGCAGGTTATTCTATATGTAAAATCACACTGTGGAGTGCACAAACATCACGAAAGTAGAAATATTTCTTCTTTTTTCAAAAAATTGGATGCGTGGGGACGGATGAAAACCAAACGAATCAATAGATAATATGACTTATCATTCCATCTAGTAAATAAAAGAGAAATTGCACCCAAAAGTAGTATATAACATGGCCACAAGTAAATGAAAATAAACCAACTTCAACAGTATCACATCAAGGAGTTTTCTTGTGTGTGAACTCCTACCTGGCATAGCTTTAGTAAAATGTTATCCAGGGCAAGTAAATGCACCAGTATCTGATTTCAAAATAACAACAACCCCCAGGAGATCAAGACTCGTAAGACATGTAGGAATCATCCTTTTAGAGTTTTTGGATTGTTTAAATTATAAAAGGATTATGTAATTGCTAAGCTGTCTATTGATCGGCTAAACAGAGAAAATTGCAATGCAAAGCAGACAAACCAAATGAATTTGGAGATCTCAAACCATGAATATTGGCCAAAACTCGACCTCCAAAAATTGTATGTTAAGTTGTAGTCAATAATCTTTTAATTATCAATGGGCTTTTGGTCCAATGGTACTTCTTGTCTTATAAAGGTTGTCTTCTTAAGATCAAGGGTTCAAATTCCCTTCCCCTTCCCCCTCCCAAAAAAAAAATCTTTTAATTCAGTTTTATACAGGCTTTCAAAAGAATACAAATCATATTGAGAATTCTGCAGCATTTTCTGGAATTCAAGCCCTAAGCATGTGGTGTCCAAGAAAGTTAGGAAGTAATGGGGAGCCTATTTCTTCTTCCACAAAGAGGTTTGCTCCATATTTTTATCTAATTCTACAAGCAATTTTTTTCTAGAATTCTATCCAAGGGATATTGCTTTTTTCCTCAAAGCATAAAAAAAAGGTAGTCCAGTGCGCGAGTCGCCTGTTGTAGTGTCTAGAGAGGGTCAGATTTATACAGTCTTACTCTACACCAAGAAGAGACATTTTTCTCAATACATAATACAAAAAATTGGGCATTGTTCCTCACACTGTTGTATAGACATAATCTTGTGCCATTAGAAGACTCTCAAGGAATAGTATGGCAGCCACATGAACTCCAAAAAGCCACAAAAAGCATAGTCAAAATAAAGTATCAACCCTTTCCTAGATCAGATCACCTAATGCCTTTTAATCATTAGAATTTTAATAGTTCATCCTTGGGTTTTGAGCCAAATTAGATATTCGGAAGATGTATGAATCCGTTCCTTAGGATTCTGTCCTCAATAACTTGGAATCGTTGAAGTTCCCTAAAATTTAGGAAAGATGGATTAGAGAATGTATTCAATGGCAAAGAGATAGACAACTCTATTGTCGGGTAAATAAGGAAACAGGCAACAATTTGGCACTAGATATCTAGGGTGTGAAAGAAGCAGAGGCGAGAAGCAAAAAAAAAAAAAAAGCTTCAAAAAAAGAACAATTGTTCGCAAAGGCTTCCATAGAAAGACCCCTTTGTTTCAATAAATGGATAACAATTAAAAGTACCTAGGTGAATACCAGTGGAATGGACAAAATATGAACAATAAGCATACAAACTAAGGAACAAAACAAGATCATTGCGTTCCGTTTTTAGTAAATAGTAATGGTTATTCCATTAGTAAAGAGAAAAGGGGTTGATGGGATCCGTGTGTGCAGGTTAGCTCGATCAAAAAGGTCCATAAATAGCTCAAACAAAATGCAGAAAGTATGGAAAAATATCACGTAATGTACATGCCCAGAATGCCAATTGCACTCCGGCGAAAGTAAATCTCAAGAGTCATAAGTTTGAATTTCATATAATAAAACTGAAGGTTTAAAAAAAATGGTAAGATATAGGTAAGAATTCTCACAGATCTCCCCATTACTGGAAATTAACATGGCAACTTGTGATGTGCCATCATTTCGAATTCTTGACAAATTTCGGCACTTTGTCCGGATGAGATCTGCTAAAGTAGCCCAAATGCGACCTATACCAATCCTATTTTTACTTTGTCACTTCTTGGAAATCATAAAGAGGATTTCCGGAGTGAACCAATGTTACCTGAATCCTAGATCAATTTGGTACTTGGTACAATAGGGGTACCAAGTACTAGGTATACAATATGATGCTTTTTCTAATACGAGGTGCAATGGGGATATGCTTAGTAGATACGATGTTTGAACACACTAAATCCCTAAGTCTGAAAAGACAAACCATCTTGATTCTTTCATTCAACCTCATACATTGAAGAAGAAATCTTGTTTGTTGTCAACCAAAACCTACTTGGAAAAGTATGCATTCCGAGAGTGTTGAGTGTGAAGCCTTGAAGATTGCTCGAGGCCTAAATGACCCATCGCGGTGGAGGCGTTCAAGTGAACCTACCCATAACTTTGGAGAGAGACTTCCGAAGGAGAAATCTATTGAAGGAAATGAGCATCTAGCCATGGAGTTGGTTGAGGTATAAGACTCAAATACTTATAGATCGCCTTTGGGTTAATGGATTAGGCTTTGATAAACCCTAGAGTGGTTCCCAAATTATTTTCTCGAGAAATGTTTCCGCATCAACAAATTGCATGTGTTCTTTATTGCTTTAATTTGCTTATACACTTTCAATGTTGCACACTCGCGCACCATGTGTTTGATGAATTTATTGTTTATGTTTCAAGTCATTAATTTTTCGTTTTGGTGTTTGTGACTTTGGTTGGAATTGAAGAAGATGGTGGATTGGTTGGTATTGATTACATATTCATTCATCCATTTACACTCTTAATGGGTTATTCATGTTAAAAGGGGCTCAAAGGGCTAATTGAACAATTTACCTCTTATTTAGTAATTGTGGTGTGGTTATATGGAGCCCTTCCATCATCACTACCACCGCCAAAAGTAGTGTTGCGGTCACCGAACCAAAATCCCTAAAGATTTGATCTAAAACTATGAGTCTGCAAGGTGGAACTCAAAGGGCATGAATGCAAGATATTTAATACCGTGACAACTAACGAACTCCGGAGGATCTCCAATTGTGAGACTTCCAAAGAAGTATGGGATATCTTACTAGTTCCCAACGAAGGAACACCTTTGGTAAAGGCATTTCATCTACAAAGGTAAACCTTTCAGTTCAAGATTTTAAGGATGCAAGTGAATGAAACATTTAGTAATAATTTCTATGCTAGATCGAGTGATATCCTAAATTCATCCTTTACATTGGGTACCAAATATGATGACTCCGCGCTCAAATGCCAAATCTTGAGATATCTATCGGAGAAGTTTCATGTTAGGGTGACGGCCTTAAAAACTGGAGTTAATTTGGAGACGGTGTCAATAGAAAACCTACTTGGGTCTATTTTGACTTTTGAGATGATCTCCACCGCCCAAAAAACCGATGAGTATGATTTTAAGCTCAATATAAGAAGAGGGAGATGAATCCAAGTCACCTTGTTTGGGAAAAGTGGGCCTAGCCTATCTTGGGAACAAATTTAGGAAGTATATCAAGGCTAGAGGTGTTGAGTCCTTAGGTTCAAAAAGTAAGACGAGTAAACCAAAATTTTCCAAGGAAGGAAGAGAAAAGAAGGGGGAAAGGAAATCGGAACAAGGACCTCAACGCTACAAGGGCCTGTTTGGTATGATTTTTGGTAGAGGTTTGGATTGGCTTGTCCAAACCTGGGTTTGACCAAAGATGGGATTCAAAGAAGGAATTCAATATTAAATGCTGCCCATACCCATATTTGGTATGCGTAAGGATATATGACTATTATAATAATATATTTGTATTTAAATGACTATTGTGCCCCTTAACTAATTTAATCCAAGCATGGGTATGAATATATGAGGGGTATAAATGTCATTTGAATGTGAAACCCCCAAACCCACATATGAAACCCACCCCCTCAATGGATTTCATGAAACCCATGAACAAGGATTTCATGACCGGGCAATGATTTCAAACCCTAAGCTAAATCCATAATTACCAAACATGGGTTTAAGGGGGTTTAGTCCCCAACCCATGTTCCAAAATCCCTCCCAACCCACATACCAAACAACCCCCAAGTGTCAAGGGTTTAGACACATGACTTGGGAATATCTTAATCAAAAAAAGAAAGATATGCTCATAATAGAGAGGAGAAAGGCAATAAAGGTCAAAAGGAGAGAAAGTGAATCCAAGTCAACGAGGAGTAAGAATACTTCCTCTCAAGAAGACGAGGAAGAGTTTATGCCTTTAATTGGCTCACACCCTTCCCCCTCGAGAGAAACTTCAAATAGGTGAAGTTGAGAGAAAGTCATCAACCCATTTTTTGAGCTAACTCGAGAGATTTTAAGAAAAAAATAAGTATGAGTGAGATGTGAGGACCTTAAGAAGCTCACAACCTCAACTAAGTTGGAAGTCTCAAGGGCTACTAAGGAGATTGAGTCACCTAAAAAGTAGGTGAGGTGAGAGTGTGGACTTAGGTGCATATTCATGTATTGCATCTTATATCCTAGGTTCATGTATTGTAAATAATTTGATTCTTTGCTTATTTACTTTGATTTTGGTATATGAAAACCCAAAAAAAATTAATGTTTAGTTGGGCATACCTTTAGGATTTATTGGTAAATGTGTTTATTTTTCCTTTATTGTTGCATTTTGTACATATTTTTTGTTTTTAAGTTATTTGTGAAAATTTCAAAAATATTAACAAATGAAAAGTTTAAAAAAAAAAATTCTTTTGTTGTTGATCATGGTAAATTACTCTTTGATTCGAGCCCATATCTTTTCCATCCTTAAAACAAGTTGAAAAGTACATTACTATGAGTCATACTAGGGGATAAAGAACTTAGTGATTTTAAGTCTTAGTGCTTGATCCTTAAATAAAAGTTTCTTTCACCTTTGCGTGCTTGGATTATGCAAGTCTAGAGAAAATTCATAAGATCAAGTGCACAACCAATCAACCAACTTTGTACTTAGAAGCATAGTTATCAAATCGTGTATCGGAAGGCGTATCGTAAGATACAAATATTGTATCGTATCGTGTATCGTATCGTGTATCGTAAGATACGATGCAATTTTAAATAAATAATAAAAAAATATATATACTTTTGAAAAAAAGTCATACACTCATAAAAAATATAGCATTTCATTAATACTCCACCAACTATTCAAGTTATCAACATAATCCACTACTATTATAATGCAAAGTTCACAACCATAGTTCACTAATTCAAACTTTAAACACCAAAGAGACTTCTAATCCAAATTTCTAACATCCATTTTGAACTCAATCTTCAATTTCAATTGAAAATGCATCATCATCATCATCATTGTGATCGGATGCCAACAAGTCTTCACTTGTCGTTTTTTTAAAAAAAAAATCAGAGCACAAAACGACGTCGTTTTTTAAAAAAAAAAAAAAAATTGCACGTATCGTGCGTATCGTACCGATACGTATCGTATCGTAAAAACGTATCGTGTATCGGACGATACAACGCAAAAACGATACATAACTACGATCCGTATCGTTTTAGGACTGTATCGTAACGTATCGTACGATACGTATCGCGTATCGTACGATACTAATAACTTTGCTTAGAAGTGTTGCTAGTTTGAATGATTAATAACTTTATGTCCCCAAGTGTAATGTGAACAAAGATCCCAATGAGGCCAATTAAAAGTAGAGGCATAAAAATAAATTGCTAGTGTTAATTGCGCTTGAACTGTTGAGAGTACTATATGTTTAATGATAAAACTCAAAGAGCTAAAGCTAAATGCGTTTAGAAGTATACAATGTAAAATATGGAATTCACAATCATGTTAATTAAGGTCATAATGAGTAGAAGAAATAAAAGATAAAAGGAGTTGTCAAAAAGAAATTGAATAGGACACTCACTAACCGACTATATAGTCACTTAGACGCTGCATTAGAATTTCATGGAGAACTTTATTAATGATTTGAGCTAGACAGAATCATAATGGTGTCAGAGTTTGGTTTCACACACGTAACACATGAATTGATCAAGATGAACAAAGTTTGAACATGTGTGAATAAAATCAACCTAAGTGAAAGGAGATTGCTCTAGGATGCACGAAATTGAGTTCAATATTCTTTAATGTCTTAGAGTAATGTAATGTGATGATGAACTTTGGATGAAGCTGCTATGTTTTGAACATATGTGATTTTCATTATTAATGACTGTAATTTTAAAGTTAAATTTGAGAATTGTATGCTGGTTAGTTCCTAATTTCATCTATGCATGTGTTTTAGACTTTTAGTTACAATTTAGATTGTACATTCATACATGCATAATTTGGAGGCTCATTGAGTTGATAGGAGGAGTAGAAGAGGAGTCGGAGCAATCCGTTGGTGAGCTGAAGAGCTGATATGTCAATTGGACAAACAAACATCAAGGACTGCTCAAGCGGCCTAAGTTATGGCTCGAGCGGTCTCCCTAAAGAACAGACGGTAAGACTTTAGACTTCAATTTTTAGTGTCTATTCTTTTTAATACGAGTCAAACTCCTTCATAACCCTATCCATCACCTATTTTGCTAGAAGCTTAAACAAAGGCTAGGAATGATGACTTGAAATTCCCCATTATGGTAA